GTGCTATTAGTACTCTTAAGTTGATCCAATTTTTTGGCCAAGAAAGTTAACAGAAATTTAGTATTTTTAATTAAATTCATCAGAAAATTGCAAAAGTTTATAATATTCTTTTCGGTTTATTTGTACTGTCAAAAGTGTATTTTATGTGAATGTAACGCGAAATCTTGATAGTCTACAACCTCAGCTTGAACTGTCTTATCGTCAAGGTTACTCAAGTGATTATCATGGTTTTCGGCTCTAGTCATTGCTTTGATGTTAAAGGTCACCTGTCAAATAAATATGATTGAACTTAACTTTGTGAGCACTTAAAAAGATAAACACCTATAAATATTTGATTTTGTTGAAGAAGAAATTACTAATTGTTAAAATTATTCCAGTAACTCATACTATTTTCTCATAGTAAGGCGTTGAATTATATAAATTTATATAAATTAATGGCGATGAAACATTTTATCTGACAGACCAAACCAATACGTACCAAACAAATTCAAGCGATTGCTTGCGAATAGTAGTCATACCGTGTTTTCGTTTGCTTATAAGTTCCATTTTTTTAAAATTTGAATGTGCAAATTTTTCCTCGTTTCAACAAAGAAAAAATTGCAGCTATTAAAAATATGACTATTTCATACTTTTTAAGAATGTTTGACTTCATGAGGGTTAGAATCACTTGCAAGTTTTAATAATTAATCGACGATTCCGATATAATACTTATGACGCTTACCCATTGAACAATATTTTGGACTTGAAATGAATTCTTGTAGGGAAAATCTAATTTGATGAAGTGTTTAAGTGATTGGCAATGTTTTAAGAAAATAATATGCACATTTATCTGTTAAGAAATTTAATCTTTGAAGGAGACTGGTACAGTGTTTACAAAAAAAATTCTACTTTTTATGAATATATATTTTCTTTCGATCAGTAAGCATTTATGATTACAAGTATGAACACAATATAATTCATTAATCAAAACAAATGAACACTTTGAACTTATCACTTATTGATAACAAAATTTTAATTATTGTTCAGACTCTCATTTGTGAATGCTGATGGCAATAGCTGTTTGAGTTGTGTAACTACACGTTTGTTTGACGTCGATGAAATCATTATTACCTAAAAATTGACACTTAATCATTTTACTGTAATAATAACATTTTACAAGAGCCAATATCCACATTACTACTATTATTATTGTACTTATTGTAATTACTATTGTTACTCATACATGAATAAATAAATAAATGAAAGTAATAATTTTGCAATTTATTCAGCATACAAAATTACCCCGAAGCTTAATAATTGCAAAAATTAATTGACTGAAAGCAGAACTTACAATTATGATTAACTACAGTGAGATTCAACTTCAAATTTCAAAAATTTTTAAGTTAACTGAAATATCAAACTTGTTAAAAAGTTTGATTACAATATTTTAGCAAATTCATATGCAAGAAGTATTGCATCCAAAAAAATTTTTTTTGATATTTTTACACATTTTAAGTAATATTTCAAGATAATTTTTACTTTCATATCTCCAAACTCAATTAGAAATTGTCGACAAATTCCACATGGAGGTGTTGGTTCTGCAGGTGCAGCACAAACTGCAATTGCTTCGAACTTTCGATGACCTTGCGCAACAGCTCGTGCTAATGCGCAACGCTCAGCGCAAATCGCTGCACTGTAAGAAGCATTCTCCACATTCACTGAAATTATTCTAGCGAATATTTTCAATTCTTTTTGTATACAATAAATTCACTTCGTTGCGAATTAGCAACATTTAATATCTGAAAAACAATTATGATATAATACTTCATCAATAATTAACAATTAATATTGGAAAAATTGTAATTATATCAAACTCTGTTATAAATTCTAATTTCAAGAATATGTGATTGATATGGATTTTCTTGCTTATTAAAATCTAAAATCTAATCGGACTAAATAGGATTACCCCCTGTAATCACTTTGTCATCAGCTGTTAATAAAGCTGCACCAACGTTGAAGTTACTGTATGGACAGTATGCTTGACTCATAGCATCACGTGCGGCCTGAATCAAACCTTCAAAATCGTCACCCATCACTGTAATTTATAAAACTTACTAGCAACGTTGATATTAAAACTCAGTTTCTTAGCATGTTATGCTTTTTTTTTCACTAAGCACTTATATCACTGATTCTCCATATCTACTAATTTATTATCTATCCACCCATCTACTTACCCACCTATCTATCCATCTATCTACCTATCAATAAATCAATCAATTAACTTATGCATCTATCTATCTATCTACTTATTTATACATTTATGTACCCATCTCATTAATTTACCTACCTATCGATGCATTCGTCTAACCAACACTGCAAATTTGTGCCTCACAGCACTTCTTATCTAATCAGAATATCTAGCGAGTAGCCGAATACATTTCTTTTGTTTTTCACGCTACGTGGGGAAATCCTTTCGTTCCTCTATATGCAAAATAAGTTGATCTCTCTTTCTTTCTTTACTCGATAAATAAATACATCTCTTATCTGTTACTGTATCACAGTGTCATCTCAAATACTTAGCGTGGGATATGCCATGAAATCCTAATATTATAACAAAAAAAACAAATTATTCTCAGAGCAAACAGTAATTTATTCACATTTAGAGCGATTTTACGCTTGGAAAGTGGAAAGTTTTTGTAGAGATAATTCATTCCCTATATGGAGTAAGAATTTTAGAAAGAAATTAGTAAGACAAATCGTTGTTTTAGTATTTTTAAATTCAGCGGATAGTTACTAATATCAAGTAATATTGTACGAAGATTGTAAGAAAATTATTTCAAGCCAATAATTTATAAGTTACGACAAAATTTTGCAGAGTATATTACAGTACAGTATAACAAAGACCTATAATGTGATACAAATTTATTCTGTGTAACACGGACAGGAAATAACGCAAATGTTTTCTGCTTGCATTGATATGAATAGAAAAATAAAATTGATTCATGCAAAAAATCGGTCATATTAGTTACAGAAATTGAACAATATATAATTATAAATATATAATGCAGAACATTACGTGGATAATACGTAAATACAAATATTATTTCGTAGTATACGTTACGTAAATATTACGCAGATACAAATATTTTTACTAAAGTATACGTGAGCACAACAGTAATATTATTATTGTAGGAAGTTTATCTCAAGTAAACAGTAAAGTCAGGCAGAAAGCCAATGAAAAGATTTAAAACATCTGTTACTTTAATTTTGTAACTAATTTTAGTAACAATGTATAAACTATTTAGAATTTTATTTTAGGCTGAAAATAAATAATAATGAACTTTTCTGGCATATTTTTAAAATTATTTGCTGGAAATGAGAAGACTTGCGCGATTAACTTTTGATCTAAAGAAATTAAAAGGATTAACTACCTTCTAAAACACGAAAAATCGTGATTACATTCACAAAAACTACCATCAAAGTTATACTGTCGAAAAATCATTAATAACATTTATTAACAAGTTGTATACAATAGCATTTTATGTAAATATAAAATGGTCATTCTTCCATGATCACTTCAGAGCTCCTTACCTGATTCTAAAAACTGGTCATTCTTCCATGACCAATTCATGTTTACATGAAATTCTACACACATTATACTGCAGAATAACTATGAGAAAATATAGTATAACTATGAGAAAATATAGTTAAAAAATAACCTTGCAGTAATTTTTATATTTCATTAAAACATTCAAATCTTACGTCAATTTTTGATTAAAATTAATTGGGGAAGTTTTAGAATGATTTTTATTGTATTTTTTACACGTGAAAAAAATAGTTTTTCAAATTTTCCAATACTTAATCTAAGTTACTTTTCTCAGTTTTCTAAGACAGTAACTTAAGCTTATAAATGCAAACAAAAACTTTAAACTCCGATCATTCAATCACATATGAACCAGCTCTTCGACTTGTTTTATGTTTACAGTGACAGAAGGACAGCTCCCTACCTGATTTTTTAAAATACCTAATGCTTCTACAATATGAATATGAAAAAGTAATAAGTCACTAGAAAGAGAACAATCTAATCCCAGGCCACTTTAGAACTCCTTCTGTAACAAAGTTTACAAAGTTCTAGATCCAAGTCTGCAACTGGATGCAGTGAATATTCCAATGTGAGCTTAGCAACATACTTTCGAGTGGGTTGACCGATAATAACGTCAAGACTTAGAATGATTAAAATGAAAACTCTATTACTACATGCAATTTTTCCGGTCGAATGTCATAAATACTTCGCTACTTGACTTACTCATACACATAAATTTGTATTTGCGTATACTTATATGCCATAAACACGGTTGAAGATAATAGTCGTAAACTGACTAACCTCAACTAGAACTATTTTAATGATCTTTAATTGTGACCCGACACTTCTACTCCCTTTATATTAAAATGACCCTAATAGGTGAAAAACAATATAGAATAAAAAAGAAGGAACTACAAAACAAACACTTTTACTCAATAAGACGATGGAATGTCAGTGAGAAGAAAGCATCTGCTTCTTAGAAAGTTTTTTATCGCAATACCAACCAATTACCACGCATTTATAATGACAATGATGAAAACAAACAATTACTCAACAAAAACAATTTAAATTTGTCTGTTCACTAGTTGTCAAAACACAAAATGACTAATGAATAGACAATTTTACACTACGTCTCGTTATACTGTAATTTTTTTAGATATTTAACATACGATCTTGATTTTAATTCTTTTTTCTTCTTTTACTGCCTAAATGATCATTCTTTGTTGATAAAATCAATGACAAAATACCGTTACTATTAAACAGCAATAATTTACTGACTGAGCAAATAGTTTTATTATTCATGCAAACATTAACATTAATAAAGAGACGACTGATATTTTTTTATAAATTTTCGGAATCACATTTAATACACGCTAAAAGTTTGTTTAGATAGAGAGAAAAAGATTCATCATTTTTTGGTTTCCTTCTCCTTGATTTTATCCTTCTTCTCACTTTTGTTCTCTTTAACTTCTTTGTTTTCCTCTTTCTTATTTGCACTGTCAACTTTTTCCTTATCCTTCTCATTTTTTTGCAAAGCGAGCTGCAAAAACAGATCAACTATTTAAATCATTTTAAGCTTGACAAAATATCTGAAACAACGCATAAATTGATACCTCAAATTCCGAAATATTTACCTTATTGTCGATAAGATTGTGTAAAGCAATAACTGTTCGTACAAGAGATCCCATATATACGCACATTAACTGATCATTCGTCTGAACATTATGTGCTTCGACAAAATGAGGGGATGTTACATCCGGTAAGAGATTTAAAACTTCCTAAACAAAAGAGAGCAAAATGATGTTACGAAATAATTATTTTTAGACTTCTTTCAAATAATTGAATATAATAATTAACATTAGCAAGAAATGAGTATTTTCAAAACCTATTTCTTTTTTACACATTTTGTCTAATGATTATTGATGAGTCAATCACTAAGACTTTTTCCTTAAAACTGTTGCTAAACAAATACTGAAGCGTGCTGTTTTCGATAAGTACTTTTTTTTGTATTACGATACAAACCTTTGTGCTTGAAGTAAGCATAGATTCATTTTTATATCTAATGAAATTTGCCTATAAAAATTAGTGAAAACCTGTTGATACGACATAACTTCATAGAACAACTAGCTCTATATCATGTAAGCAGAAGCATTTTAAAAAGCAAATATAATACCTGAATATAATAGATAACGGCATGATTGATAGGCAGTTTACCCTCTGCTACTTCATGCAAATAACGCTGTAAATCACGCAACTGCCCATGTAAACCTCGTAATCCCATTAGTTGATCAGTGATTCTTTGAGAAAGAGTTCCTGCCGTCTGATCTTTAATATCTCTATAAAACGGTAATTGAACAAATAACACGCAACATTGATATTAGAAGATTAAAAAAAAATTTTATTCAACTCACCTAAATTCTAAATACAGAGAAACAAAAACTACCTTAGGAGATGCTCAACACCAACTTCCTCTGCTTCTTCAGCACCAATTTCACTAGGAACATGTTCAAAGGTCTTGATTGGCGGTGTACCATCCTAAAATTAAGCTTATCTTTCAAAGCAAAAACAAACTGCACAGATATACAACGCCAATTAAACAAAGCTTAATAAACAATCATAAAAAATTTCATAAAGATGAAAGTATATAATTTACATCGTGGACTTCCTGCACTTCAACATATGCTTCCGTAGGCAAACCTAAGTCATTTGGTTCCGCCTGTATGACCACAAGAACGGGATTACATGTGAGACGTTTTAGCTGTTCGTTAATTACAATGTCATTCTAAAAATTAAGTCATAAGCATTCCAATAACTGATATTCGAAGACCTTAAATTTAGTCTAAAAGACCTTGACTTATGGATTTTAAGAAAGCTAAAGAAAAAGCAGAGCAGAATCAGAACGGGTTTTTTCACTCATTGTCATCAGAGCCCAGTGCAACCCGTAACACATCACACTCTGCAATCGTGATAGAAATTATACTAAGGACCACTGTCTTCAGAGAAATAGTGCCTTAGCCATTATGCCATTTCACATTTCACGCCCCTAACTGACAGAGACTAATGAATTATTATGCAAATCAAGTCCAGGAAATAAAATGAAAAAAAGTTACTTGACAAAGTTTTGGACCTGTGTGATACCATCCAACAATTTTTTCACGAGCTGCTACCTAAACAAGAACATGAAAGTATCGCTAGCAACAAAACTATAAATAACCGTGGACATCGAAATATGACAAAAAAATTCAAAATTATAATCATAAAATTTGAAGAGAATTTTTGTACGCACACAAATATTAATGAGGTGTAATAAGTTCACAACTGTATGCTAGGAATAACTGTACGTCAGAAAAATATAATATAGTTTCGGTAGTAAAAAATATTTACTTTGTGAAACATGTTGTACATGCTTTCGAGATAATCCATATCAAGAAACCAAGTTTTCTTGTCCTTTTCGTCTTCATCAAAAGGCACTGAAATATATTTTAGACCAGTTTTTGACTCAATATACATAAAATAAAAATAACCATATTTACGCAAAAATGCATTAAATAAGAGTAGCTATATACAATGCAAAATGATTACCTGCAAAGCAGTTAGCAATATCTAGCGTCTTGTTTGCTTTTAAACTGCCTAGGAGTACGCCAACTACACGTTTTGCATTTTGAGTCTTGCTCACGCGATAAAAATGATCAACTACAGAAAGGAGTACTAGTGGATGTACAACGACCTGAGAAATATTTTCACAAGATGCTTTCAATCTGATTTTTCAGAAAGTTAAAAAAATCTTGTCGATATAAAATAAAATCAAATAATATAGCATAAACCTTGATTCTGACTCATAATTCGAATATTTGTTGATTTTTTTGTCAAACCGAATAAAATAAATTGCTACTAATTAACGAACCTTGTTAACATGCAAATTTAAATGGACATTACTCGCACAGTGCGATTTGGCAGTATCTTCCACTTTAGTTACATCTTCCGTCTTATTACTAGTTCCTTTGTATGGCGCCATTCTAGAACAAGAATTAAAGTTACATGAAAAACACACGGTAAATATTTTGGACAATTCTCATTGAAATATTTCATTTTACATGTACGGCAATAAAATGTCATTACATTATGAATTTATTCGATAGAAAAGGAAGCAAACAATTACGCATAAAATAAAGTGAGAGAAAGAATAAGGATGAATGAGATTAAAAATGATTCAGATCACAAATTTTTCATATCAATCAGAGAATAAACCAATACAATCTCTCATAAGAGAACACGCAAATTTCCATTGTTTTTCTAGCATTTACGTTTGCGCATACGTATTATTTAGAAATAAAATTCTTTGAAGTGAAAATTATGTGCGTGAAGAATAGAAGTGTGAAAAGATAAATAGATAAGTGGAAAGTACTGAAAGACTAGACTGTCATATTATACTATAATACTCTCTGTGGACTGAAAAATCTCGTGAATAGATGGATGATAATAATAATAATAATAATAATAATAATAATAACAAAAATATTGAAAATAACAGTTAACTCAAGCCGAACTCGACCTTGATACTTGTTTGACACAAAACTTTAACCTCACCTTCCATAAACTTATCATCACTTGAGTCTCAGTATGCACCCGCGAAAGCACATCAAATGATGGTTAAATGTGGCTCGGCTAAAAATGTTCAACTTCGAATTACAAATAATTTATTTGATTCATGCTGGAGGAATAGGCTGTGAAATATTTTAATATTTCTCATATCGATGGTAATCTTAGACGAGAAATCTTGTGATAAAGGAAGTTATGAGAGTTATAAAATCATCCAGAAGATCTCAAGAGGTAATACTTCTATTTTAGTATGATTTAAATTCGTAACATTCTGAACAGCATGCTGTAATATCAATTTATCTGTCTTTTTCAGCTCATGAACGAGCAGTCATAGGCGTTGCTTATGTACAGGACACTGATTCTCAGCAAGAGTACTTAGTGACGTGTGCGCAGGAATCATTGAAAATATGGCTTGTGTATATTTTTTTATTGCAGTTACAGAAAAAAAAAGGCATTTATGATACGAATCCTTTCATAAATTTTAGTTTTGGTCTAGTTTCCAAGGCTAGATTTCCATTTCAATCTGTTGGTAATTAAGTATTACTTGACTGTCATTTCAAGTTTATCTTGTCTAAAATATGCATATCCGCGGATTGATTTCTGTAATATAACACTGATATACAATATAAATCTAACATTGATAGTAATTTTTTTGTAATAGTTTTGTGGAAAAGTAATATTTCAGTGATGCTAATGATCCAGGATTGCTAATTGAAAAGTTGGAGATTAAAGAGTGGAGAAGTGGTGTACAAGATTTTGATGTAACTTCTGATGGAAAAAGTATGGATTTTCTTTCGAACAAATTCGTCAAAAATTTTTCACTATGATTCAGATTTTTAAAATTGATATGATTATTGCAGTGATAGCAGTGGTTGGCACTGATTCTACGATACATATTTACAAGTTATCTTTCTCTGATTACTCTCATACCTCAGAAACATTCTATGAAGGATTTATGCAGCAATGGTTTGTTAAAATAGCACCTAAAGCGACTCATTTAGTAACAGGTGAAAGCTATGTTGATAAAATGTTCTTACTTTGCATTAAAATTATTTAAATCACATGTTGTATAAAATATGATTTTGGTTTTATGTTTCATATTCTGATTTCATTAGAATTGTAGTAACAAGAAAAAAAATAAAAAACATGATTTTCTTTCTTAATTTTAATTTTCAAACGTTTTTAATTATGAAAATTAAAAATAGAAAGCACTCATGTTTTTATCATGATTTTATTTCCAATTCCTTCCTTATTTTGACTTGAGTTATATGAATTTAACTAATTTCAGTGAATTTTTCTGGACTTATAATGGTAGTTTCAACTAGTGGTAAAGTTCAGGGAAGCTTTAATTTCAATGAAGCGCGACAAATCTCCTCCTTGACATATGTTAGCTTTTTGCAGATTCCTGTTTTAATCCTGCATTGCTTACTCATTGATTATTAATTGCACTGACTTCTATATGTTTCTTGATGTACTTGCTTTTTATAAAATCATTATTATTAATATTTATACCTCTTCTTTAGAGTCCAGATGGTCAAAGTATTGCTATAGCTACCAATGAAGGAATTGTCACTATAGTCAGTGTTGCAACTCTCGAGACGCGTTTCTACTTTGAAGGCTGTTTATTTAAATTATTCCAGTTATTATCACTCTATATCATTTCGGAAACGTAACTGTCAATCAAGTTTAGTCTGTTTCCTTTTAATCAGCTTATGTTTTAAGCGCACGCAATCAAAGTCAGAGCAGTATGTTTCTCGCCAACATCAGATCATTTGTTGACTGGTTCGGACGATAAGATCGTGAAGCTTCACATGATGTAAGTATTTAAACAATATGAATGTTAAACTTACATAACTTTTGGTTTGAAATCTACCGAATACCTGAAAGGCAGTAATTCTAAAATTTTTAGTCATCGTAGCTAATTTTTATTAGAATTTGATTAACGATTAGACGCATATTCCAAGCTAGTTTTTTCAGTAGTGCAAACAAAGCGCAGTTGGTAAGGAGTTTTTGTGGACACAGAAGCTGTGTTACAATGGTTAAATATCACTCTCAGGATCCAAAAATGTATATTTACTGTTATCTAGAAATTATTATTTTGTCTTGTTTTTCACTAATCAGCTACCATATTTCAACTCACACTGCAGGTTTGCTAGTTCGTCAAATGATGGCTGCGTGATTGTGTGGAGCACCACGCAACATCACCCTCTTCATATTTTTCAGGGAGATCATGAAGGAGTGGTTAGTTTCACAATAAATTAATTGTACTAGTACAAGGTTTTGAATGGTTTTAATGCACTGTTGATTCTAATGAATTTATGGAAAGGTGAAGTATCCGTCCGAACTTCTGAATGAAGATTAGTGAGTTTTTGTCAGGAATTAAATACTAATTTGATTGGACTTTTTACGTAGTACACAACAGATGGACTAATAGAAATATTTTAGTTGTACCAAAGAACGCGACTTCATTGTGTTGTTCGTATTTGTTGATGTCAGTGGTGAAAACAAATTCTGAAATATTCATATAGTTGCTTCAAAAATAAATACTCTTTCTTGACTACTTAAATAATTTGTAGCTTACTTTCAAAGTATAAAATAAATGATATAGTAACTGTTCTGATTATTACAGATCAGAAGTTTCTCATTTTCCTTAGATGGATCACACATCGCAAGCGTTGGTGAGGATCGTGCAATTACAATCCATAAATTAAATTACGAAAAATGCAGTGGTAAATCAACAATAGGATTGGCTAGAACGATGAATAAGGTAATAAATTGACTTTTTATGGCCGATTTTCTTAAAAAAGAATAAATGCAGTTGAAAAACAGTTCCTTTGTGAAGTACCTGTATCTGTTTCATGTGTCGACAGTTGGATTCCGCATTCTTAAAATAAGGTGAAAATTTTAGAGTGCTATATTTAGTTGTGTTTTGTGTTAGGTGTTCTTATGAGTTACAAATGTTTGTCAGGAATTCGAAGTTGATGGTAGTCAGCAAAGAAAAAATGGGATGGCCATTGGCGAAAACTCGACAGTCGATGGTCTAAGTAAATTTTGCTCTAAAAATTTAGGGGATTTTATGTTATGCAAAAGCTGCTTTTTGTTCATAAGTATATATTCACTATTTACGAGCATTATTCACAAGTATCCCTCACAAATTTCTATTTCTATCTTTTGTGTATAAAATAACAGAGAATAAATTTTGTAGCTGTGGAAAGTAAGATTGATGATGACGTTCTGATCAGAGCACGAAGAGATTTTGATGCAGTTACTGGCGAGAATATCTCTTAAGTGAACATTTCTTAGTTATATTCTTTGTGTTCTACGACCAAAAATTCGTATTTGATTCATATTCTTGTGTAAGATAGATATTAAGTCTGATTTACTTTTGATTCACTTCACTTTCAGCTTTCGTAATTTTTGACAAAAAGTTGGTTCAAATTGTAAAAATTACAGTAATCTGTCGTCAATTTGCAGAAGAAGTGCAATATGAAACTTTGTTTTTTCTTTCTTCAAATTCGACAATTTTCAGTGTTTGCGAACGTGAAAAAAGAGAAAATGATAGAATGATAGCATTAATGTTCTTGATTGCCATAAATTTTCTCTCGTGTTTCATTTACTGTCTCATTTTGCTGATCACCTTCTTTATTCGCTACCTGAGCACGTTCATTGCGAGACAAGTACTTGCTGTTTCGGACGAAGTACTTTTCTGCATGACAATTGAGACATTTTCTGACCAACCTTTTCTTTCTGTCTAGCCTAAAGTTAAGAAAATATGTTAATAGCATCTTTACACGTAAATCTAGTCGCCTATTATGAAATCACAAATCACATCTTAATTCCCCTTGCTCAACCTCACAGTTTCCTTTACATCATTACATAAAAGTCTGAATATATATGCAAAAATTGAAATCAATTTGCATATCAGCACAACATATCTCCAATTTGTCAACCTTTGTGTAAAATTGAATGATTCGAAGTTGTGAGCGAACAGCAATCATAAAAATTTCAAGCTACAAGTCACCTGAGAGACATAGATTGAGATCCATCAGAGCGGGGCACGAAAATGCATCTACAGCGTTTACAGATTGTTCGATTAAAATCTTTTTCTATCCTTATTAATTCAGTGTCGCACAGTTTTTTCATTTCACGAAGATAGAACTGACTGACGAATTGCATAGCTTGATTGTCAGAAACTAAAATTAAGTCTGTAATCGAAAATAGTGACAGAATAAATGGATCATAACTTACTTGAAGAGATCAGGCCCGCTGCACTGTAAAGAAAATTGCATCGAAAATGAATTTCATTTGGCTTCCGTTCTCTAGAATCACTCATTCCTTTATTCTGAAAACTATGTTTTATCAGTGGGTGTTGCACTGAAACTATGGAAATGCATGATTTACTAACACAAAATATATGAAATGCAAGAGAACTTTAAGGAAAAAGACTCCAGGTAAACCTTGTTTTGTGGATCCTTGCAAATATCTGCGAACATTTTACATATTATGTACACGCCAAACGAAATGAATATTATTTATCGAGACATTTTAATACTTGAGTACACTGTATCACATGTCACATGCACAAATTATAAAGATGTAGAAACAGTATTCCTTATTTTGAAGGAAATGTTTAGGAACAATTAGACGACACTGATAATACATAAGATTTGCAATACCAACCAATAATCATGACACCACACGTTTTTCGATCTTTTCTAACAACACTTCGATTTGTGCATTAAGATTCGGCTGACCTCGTCTATTTCTTTTCGATAATGCTCTGTTCATTTTGCGCTTCAGTGAATTATATTTCTCCAAAGCTTTTAACCTACTTTCTTTATCCAATTGACGTTTTTCTCTTTCAAGTTTACGCTCTTCTAGAATTTTCTGATAAGTAATTTGCGCACGTTGATCAGCATGTAAACGTCTTTTTTTCCTTAAATCCACTCATATGATTTGAATATAAATCACGCATATACTAACTTATAACGAATATATTTCAATATTTTGAATGACTTTTTTTTCATTTTTAAAATAGGGAAATATCGATTACTCGAAAGATGCACTTCATAAGATGATAAAAAAAATTATAATTCAGATGCATTTTTTTTCAATGATTTCAATTCAATTAAAAACCTGCAAGAATACTGATGAATATTGCCGATAAAAAGATTAATTTTTCTTAGAGTTTTTCAAAAATATACTCGCCAGCACTACCATCACAACAACTTTTATGAACAACCTAATCAAACTTCTTTTTGCAAAAAAAAAAATTACTGTCTTCAGAACAAATTAAAGTACTTCTGAAAATAATAAAATTTTAAATGATGAATAGAACCTTCTAAGAGATGTAGAAATTTGCTCCGCCTCATCTGAAGCCTCTTGTGGAGATGACGATGATTTGATGTCATTAACTTCCATCTTAGCTGAAATCAGTACTCACCGAACATAAAGCATTTATCAAATAGTACTTCCAATTTAGTCAGCTCTTTTACAATTACGAACTTAACGTGAACTGATTTGACCGAATGGTACTATGTGATGTCGGCCATTATTTTGAAAAATTTGATATTTTATTAAGTTTAAAATTTTTGGCATAAAATTTTTGTTTTTGGAACAAATACTTTTTCATTTGCTAAGATGCTTTGATTCAACTCTTTCAATTAACTGAAGTTAGCTTTTATTTCTGCTACTATTTTTTTAAGTATTTATTGTACTTCGTTTTTTTCTGACGCCTTTTCTGTACTAATCATTCATCGCCATCAGCCCTTTTATTCCTGTTACTTTTACAATTTTTGGTAACGCAAAATTGAATTTTTAATTAAAAAACTTTATTTTCAGTTTATAAATGGCATCGAAACCAAAGCCATTTTTGAAGAAACGTAGCGGTTTCACTGGACGTTTTGTGGTTTGTTACCATATGATAGAATAAATGAATAATTTAACGTCACTGGTAGTTATTAAGTACATCACTATTATTTTGAGCATAGATTATTCATATAATTATAGGACAAAATACATTATCCTCATGTGAGACATATCAGTGATAACAAGTCTGCAGAAAAAAACGAAGTCATGTCAAATAGTCCAGAAAGGAGTTCAAGTCCGAATTGTAAGTATTCGAGTGTCTTTTCTTTATTTTTGCTTCATAGCCTGAGAATGAACTTTTTTATGTCAAGCGGAAAAGCAACAAGAAAGCAGCCCTCTGAGTATTAGCGATTCGGAGCCGAATACGATATCACCGGGAAATAAAGTACTTTTATTTATTTTCTAGTAATTTCTTTTACTTAACCATGCAATAAGTTATTAAGTGCAACATTAGTGAATGCAAATTTATTTTGTTTAATTTAAGGTTATGAATTCAAATCGGCCATTCACAGCTGGTACTGTGGACAGCGGTTGCCAAGAAGATGCTTACTCAGTTATTCTTAGTCCAGGATTTGACGTAAAAGACGATTATCTAAAATCAGTTGTCATAGATGTTACGGAACCAAGTTGTACTAATTCAGCTGCTACATCTGGTTTGTAATCGAAAATATTGCTAAATAATTGCGGATTAAGAGAATTGAACTATTAAAGAAAATTGTCTTTTCTTTGCTGTTTATCGTTTTTCTATAAGGTCAAAGCAATTTCAACGTTCCATCGGTAATCCATGATATGCCTGAGTTTTCATCAATGGAAATGGAAACAGTTTCAGCAAAATCAAAAAGTATCAGCGAATCTTTTTTTCGAAAAGGTAAGGATCATTAATAACATTTTTGCTTGTACTGAATATGTATGTGTATAAATTAATGTCTGTTTTTTTAAAGGATTAGTGTCTCCCGGTGTTTCTTTAATGAATAATTCAACAGCTGAATTCGAACGTTTCGAACGTTTTATTTGTACGCCAAAGCAGTCTCAAAACTCTCAGGATTCTGATGGGACTAGCTCCCGACACTGGAAACAAGTTATCAAAGACTTTGGTGTGGAAGCAAGTAAAAAATTGGTAAATGCAATAAATGTTTTATCATGGGTAATCATTATTAAAACATTTCATACCTGTTTTATTTTCTTTAAGGAGATTATTCCTCACGAATCTTTCCCAGCAAGCACGGAATCCTTGGCAACTACAAACTCTACTAAAACAATCGACCAAATCGCAAAAAAGTTCCCAATTCACAACCACGTCAAAAAAACATTTCAAAAAAGTTTATTTTTGTTTGCATCACAAGCTTCTTAATTCCACGATCTTAATACCGCAGCAGTTATACATGAAACTTTTTTTTTCCTACTCTTTGATTCCAGAACCACACAAACAGTTGCATGCTATGCGAGAGGCATTTCCATCCATTCTTGAAGAGGTGAAATTAACTTTTCATTTTATATTTGTATTTTGGATTTACTTTCCATTAAAAAATAATATTTGGATCAGAAAACTGAGGTCTTTAAAATATTGACAGAAATCGGGTCATGGCTTATACGCATGTGTTAAGAAAATTGAGAATGGTACTGAGAAGCCAAAAACAGAAAATGCACCACTCTTGCAAAAATCTGTAGAAAAAATGTCAACGGAAAATAAATCGGTAGAACAGGTATACCGTTATTAAATCCTTTGATTGGGACAATATTGTGTTCTTTCATCAGTTACTTTCTTTTTCTTAAATTAAAGTGGTCAGCAGATTGCCACTTCAGGAAATACCAAAAAGTACTGGAATTAGCGTCACAGAACAAAACCTCGCAAAGCAGTTAAGAGATCTCATTGCTCACCTCGATATTGCTAGCGAAAATCGTCATTACGAACATAATAGAGTCAGTTTCTGTTTTTTAAGATACCAAGAAATAAGGTGCTTTACTTTGATTATTACTTAGTTTTTTGAAAGATGTAGCGTTCCTTTCATAAAATATAATCAAGTTTAGAAATTGTTAATAGTACTTGGTTTTACTGTATCTTGTTAAATGTTTCAGGATTGAAATGCATTCTTCTCAAAATTCTATTTTCGTGACATTCCATTTGCATTTCAAGCACTCTGTAAAATTTTTATTTGGAGTGCTGTGGTGTTTGTTAATCATATTATTAATGTTGATGGTGCATGAATGTTATTGATTGTTATTGTGATTGATTGTTATTCATTTAAAAGTGATTCTAGCCATCAAAAAAATGAAAATATTTTGTTAACTTTAATGCATATTTATGAATATCATGCGTGCACGTTGTTAATTGTTGTCAAATTTTCTGTTTTTAATTGGGTGTAATTTTATGAGTTTTTAGTTTCAAGAAATTGTTGGAGAAGTACTGCAAGAAAATGAGTTCTTTTGTCAACGAATTGATGCGCTGAAGAAACGAATTGCGCAATTGGAAAAAAATGAAGAAACTCGAAAAGAAGATATTGCTTTAAAAGAAGAAATCGATAAGTTGCAAAAAGCTGATATTGAGCGCTTAAAAAAGGAAAATGCAACTCTGAATCGTCAACAAAAAAAGAAAAGTGGAAATGATAGCGACTTCGTAAATCTGCTCAAGGAACAAGTTTGTATCAAATTTCGTTTTAACTTGTTAAGGAATCAAAAAAAAACAAATTTATCGTTGCTTATAATAGTATTAAATGTTTAAGCATGTTTGGGTAATACAAATTCAATGATTATTAAGAGCAATATTTTATCAAAGTCAGTGGATAAGTAAAATTCGAAAATGCTTGAAATTTATGTTAATCATGCATTAAACTGAGCAGATAATTTCTAGATTACCGATCTTCGTGCAATGTTACGAGATTTTGAGAGGCAACGCAGTGAATGGAGAACTCAGATGAGAAAAAATAGTACACTTTTAAAGGAGAAAACTGATTTGATTGAGCAGCTAAAAGAAGAAAAAACTCGTTTGGAGAAACGGCTGATTATCGTTTCGGTAACTAATAATATCGTAGTTATGCTTTCTAGATCAATGACATTTATTATGTGATTCGAACTTTATAAAAATTCTTAAAATAAAAGGATATTGCTTGAACATAAAATGTGGCCTTTGATTCAACAATCTATTTACTAAACTCAGTAACTTGAATTTAAATCACTTTTGAGTTTAACGTGAAACGTAGTATTTACCATGTTTTTAGAACACCAAAGCAGCCCTTCGAGGCCGTCAGGCAGAAAATGCTTTCTCTACTCAAGCGATTGCTCGAGCGTCTCGTAGTGCAGCAGTAACAACTGCAACAAAAAACAAAACTTCTCAAAATAATGACCCTGTTGCAAAAAATGTGGTGCAGAATAAAAGGAATGTCAGTAGCAGAAGTTTATCTTCAAAAATTCTATCAATGACAGTTTTAGACATTTTTTGTCGTTTTTTGTTATTTGAAAAATTTGATCAAATTTTCTTCATCAATCTGCAGAAAACGAATTTGAAAAGGAAAAAATGCTTTGTGTCTGATGTATTCAACAGTAAGTAGTAATTTTGATCGGCTGCTAATGAGTTTCAGATATTTAGTGAACTAAATAAAAACCAAGAAGCGGCAGACGCTGTCAAGAACAAGGACATAATTAACGACAATGAAGATATCAATTTTATTGGACAAACGGTGGAACCATCTCGTTTTGAAAAAAATGTTCGTTGGAACGACCCTTTAACAACGTTGGCTACTTTTACTCCACCAGCTCCCATCCATCCCTCTCGGAATTTAGAAAATTCTGACATGGTATGTTGCTTTGTAATGCTTACTTTAGTTAATATCTGACAAAAATTATCATAAAGTCCTTATTTGTATCACTTTCCTTACAAAGAATTTCGTCGCAGGAACTGATTTTAACCGAAAATAATATGATTGGAAGAGCATCGTTGTACCGTAGTGAAAATGATTTTACTGTTTATACTCTGACTCATTGTGGATGTAATTTTTATGAATACAGCAATACGGATACCCGGTGGATGCATTCAAGCAACCTTTATCAAGTCAGTAAGATTTAAATATAACGTATAGCCGTTTCAGCTCAGTTTTCCGTTCATAATGTGCTATTGAGTGATCTAAAATTGCATATGCGAATAGGCGAATTCAGCCTTGATCTGTAAATCTGTGCTTAATAATGTGTACCATTCCTGAACTTTTTTTATAAGCATTTAAATCCCATAAAGTTACTTTAGGTCAATTATTTCGGACAGGCGGGAGCGACTACCGTCGAAATAGCCGAGAAGAAATTACTTGTTCGACACTTTTTATCTGGTCAACTTGAGATATATCGAGAAAGTGGAGAAACCAGTTTGGTGACATCTGCCGGACGTCGTATAGAAGTTATGAGACATAAATCTGGCGCAGTACGCGTAGAAATGTAAGACTTTTGCATGCTCAGACTTATACATTCCTTTACAATTATAAGTAATAACGAGATTCTTAGAAATCTAAAGTTGTGTTAATTTTAAATGGGATTTCGTTGTTTTTGTGAAAACAACCTTTAGTTATGAGTTGAATGGCACAGTTCGTGTCAGAGGTCGTGGAGAGGCAGAAACATTGCATCGAGCAACTCAAACTTCATGTCACCGTATGGATGGTTCTTATGCATTTCATATTCTTAGCGATGATTCAATTGAGTGGCGTTCCCCTGATTACACGGTAATTTATTGTTTGGCTATGTTGTTTGAATTAATTTGTATGCTGAACTTCAAGGACTTCCGATCGCACTTTTGTTTTGGTAATCTTTTTATAATGAAACTACAGTGTATGTTTGGCACGTCATTTGTCAAAACGAGATAAACTCAGAACTACATTTAGGTGCATCGATTTAAAAATGGTGATACAAAAGTACGCTTAAATGCGATCGATACAAGTATTACAATGCTCGTCATGGATGTTGGCACAGTAAAGCATTTATCGAACACAGTGGATAGGAAACTTCCCAAATATTGTGTTGAATGGGGTACCATTGCAAGAAAAAGATCAAGAGTCATTGCAAACAATCAGTCTCGTGTATTAAATCAACTGTGAATATTTTATATTGTTCATTAAACCACATAACGTTACCGTTTATTAATTTGAAATTTACGCATTATGACTGCATCATAGTCATTGGCGTATGTTTTATATATTTTTCGATATGTATTCACTAAAAGGCGTTCGAATAAATGATTCACTTACGTACATTAAAAATAGTGTTGATATAGTTTCCGTAAATCAGATGTTGATAAAAGTTGCTATTACAGAAATAAACGAACTTAACTGCCGAATTTTCAGTGAGCCACTATTTTGTAATATGTTTATTTTGACAATAGATGAACCACATTCTTTTTATTGAATGCCACGGACAATTATAACAGTTACTTAAGTGAACAACAGGAAAAAATAGTTAATTAAACAAGGAAAAACACGTGGCATGGGTATCTTTATATGCAATAACGTGAAGTAGCGTATTCGTGGGAAGTAAGCGAAAAAAAGTAGAGTTCATTAAGTAGACGAGATGTGTTCTAATGGTACATTCAACTCATATGAAATTAAGCCAAAAACCGTACAAGGAAGAAGTCCTTTGTATAACTTATAAGTAATAACAGTGGTGCGCATAAGTGGTACTACTCAGACTCAGTTAGTTTGTATCACTTGAATAACTACTCGCTTTGCTCAGCTCTGTCTCTTATTGAAATTATAACGAGTATTAAAATATCTCATAATTCTCTTTAAGGTTCGTCTGAAATTGCTTCATGAGATACTAATTTTGGATTCATTCTAATGAAAATATTTCGTATAGGACGGGATAAGCAGTAATCAATGAGCTAGTCTGTGAGTATATTGGTGCACAAAGAAATATTTCACGCCATAATTACGGGATGTCAATTTTATTGTTGAGAGTGGTTTTTATATTTGAAGTTAATGCAATTCTAAAAGTTAATACTAAGAGATCTTATTAATAGTAGTAAGACGAAAGTCGATTTAAGCACAATCCTGTTGGATGAAATATTTGCTTATGCGTGTTTAGCGTCTTCAACGTGCAAATTATCAATTTCAAGTAGGAATATGCATCTTTCATGAAGTTAATTCTCGAATCGAATAAAAATCTGTGTTTGTACGTTTGTGCTGAGTAAACCTGTACATTTTGAAGTTTATTGTCGTTTCAGGTAGATGGGAAAGTGACTAACACCATTTCTCATCATAATATTTACATATGTGCAGTACTGGTCGATATTACGTGGACATTATATGCAATTTCTTAAGGTCAAGTTAAATCAATGTTTTACTTTATTTTTTTTCATCATTATTTCGTCTCATTAAGTTCTTATTTAGACGAAAAAAACTAGTGATAGTAACCGTCAAAATAAAATTTCATGAAAAACATTGCATAAAAAATTTTTTTGCTTGATATAAACTTATGTGATGTAGCGAAATATAAGAAATTAATAAGTCATTGTATTTGTTGATGCTATTGAAAATTAATTTTTCATTTAAGCGGGTCTCAGTGAATCGATGGGTTCACTGCCATAATTTCACGAATCCCAATCACCGTACATAATGGATTCTAAAAAAGAAGTTTCACCATCCAATATAAGTTTAGAAATGGATTCTGCAAAACCAGCGAGTGCTAGGTCGATGCGCGTTGTTGGTTTCTCTGGTAAGGTGTTTATTTCAACTATTCTAATTTTATTTCTGGAAGGCATAAATTCCTTTATTCAAATGCATCTTTTCAGTAGAAATATGATTTGTTTTAGCAGAAGATGAAATTCGAAATCAGGAAGAGCGTGAAAAACAAAAAATTGGTCATCGCCGGATAGATCGACAGGGCGAGGTTAACACCCAGCTTTCAATTAATGATTCTTTAGTTTAAAACACAAATAAGCAATAAATGGATGCATGGTGTTTGACTTTATTTTTAGAGGATTTATTTTTTCGGTCAGTGATGTTTAACAACTAATCTCTAATCCACACATTTAAAGAAAAAAGAATTCAAATTTAGTTAGATATGAAACTCTGTAAATGATTACTAATCATTGTTGCACTGTTACCTAATGCTGGCTCTGTTTTGAGGTGAGCTACAAGCGAGTTCCAAGCAATGCTCTAATGGGAGCAATACAGTTAGGTATCGCAAACTCAGTAGGCTCGTTAGCTTCTATTCCAAAAAGAGATCTCTTGCTACAAGATTTCGACGTTATTAATGCTGTTTCATTTCCATCGTATGTTTTTATTTTCCTTCTGTAATTGCTTTGTGTAGTGGCTTTTCCAAATTTAGGAAACAGGTGTTAAAATAGCCTAATTACAATTTTTTTAAATACCTGTTTCTGGATGTGACGTTATCAATTCAGTTTCATTTCCATCGTATGTCTTTTTTTTAAATTTTTTATAATATCGTCTTGCCATTATTGATGCTGGTTCCGTCGTATGTATTTATTTCTCATTAATAACGTCTTTTAAAAAAATCTTGGTGCTAGGAGATCTCTTTGCTACAAGATTAATAATTTTTTTTTGCTTGTAAAATATTGCTCAATTTGATTGAATGGTTTAAGAGTATAATTTGTATTGCAGAAGTGGATCACAGTCAACGCCTTCTCATAATTATGGAGATTTTCGATTTCAGACTTATGCACCAATTGCATTTCGGACTTTCCGTGATTTGTTTGCCATTAAAACTGCAGATTTTTTGGTATGATTATACTTTTAAATATGCTCATTGCAGTTCAATCTTTTTCTTGTGGAATTTACACCATTTCAGCGTTCAGTATGTATGTTTCCACTTAAAGAACTATCAAATGCAGGAGCTTCTGGCTCCATATTCTACGTTTCTCATGATGATCAGTTTATAATTAAAACAGTGCAGTCAAAAGAAGCAGAGTTTTTGAAAAAATTGCTTCCGGGTTATTATATGGTTGGTACTTTTCTTTTAAAAACACATTTAATTTTGTCTTTTAAACGATTTGACTAAATTCCCGACATTTCTTGTGGCAATAGTTTTATCTCAGTGCACAACTAATGCTTACTGTTAGCTATTTCAGAATTTCAATCAAAATCCACATACTTTACTGCCTAAATTCTTTGGATTGTTTTGTTATCAGGTAACTTATTAGCTATTATTTAAGCATTACTCATTAATTTGTTAACGGAGTACATGAATTTTAATGCTAATAGTAACTAGTCTTTTTTGATTTTCATTATAGAGCTTGGGAAAAAATATTCGATTACTACTGATGAATAATTTGTTGCCTCAAGCAATTATGATGCATGAAAAATATGACTTAAAAGGATCTACTTATAAGAGATTAGCATCAAAACATGAGCGAGCAAAGGCTTCTCCAACACTGAAAGATTTAGACTTCGTTTCTGAGCATCCCGATGGACTTTTGCTTGATGTGGGTGTATATGATGCTGTTATGAAAACCATTAGTCGAGACTGCCTGGTATCGTTTTTCTCTAAATATTTAAGAATTTCACGACATTTCGAAATTATTTTTCTAAGTTTTATTCATATTTCAGGTTCTTGAAAGTTTTAAAATAATGGATTATAGCCTCCTTATTGGTATTCATAATAAAACAACGGCAAGAAGCGTAGCTGAAGCTGCTGATGGTGGTGAGCCATCCACTTCAATTCAGGTTCTGGTATTTCTAAATCTATTGAATACGAAATTTCCAAGTATATGATGAAGTAAACTGCCCGCTTTCTTTTTGGTAAACTTTATACCAAAAACAGTAAATTACAGAAATCAAAGAGTAAAATTGTTCGATTGAAAAGCGAAAAGTTGGTGGATCCAGATTATTATGAGCAGTATGAGTAGGTTTTTTTTTTACTAGAATCGTTTTTATTTCGCTTATCATATTGCTGCAAAATCGCATAAATTTTATGTGAAGTGCATTTCAGGCAAATTTCTTTTCCAGCGAGAAATCAGAAGGGAGACGATTTGTTATTATTTCTGGGTATCATCGACATTTTGCAGAATTACAGGCTGCTCAAAAAGCTTGAACATACCTGGAAAAGCATGCTTCATGATGGAGTATGTATAATATAGAATTTTGCTTTGAAAACTATTTATGATCATTATAGAATTGTTTTTCTCACTGTGATTAGAAACTTAAAATTTTAGGACACAATTTCGGTGCACAATCCGACATTTTATGCGCAACGTTTTATAAGTTTTCTCAAGATACATGTATTTCACGCAACAACAGGTAGCATTATTTTTGTCGCATCACCTTTTAATTTGTTATTTTGTTTTTCTGACTTTCTTTTTTTGTCTCATAGAAGTTTGCATGTTAGGAATTGTTGAAAACATATATTCATTGATCACAAACATATACCCATATATGGTGAAGTGAAGAGCCTTTATTTTTTCGGAACTAAGAATTTTGTTTTTCATGTAAATCATTTTACTAAATTCTTATGTCGAACTTTATGTACTATTGCTTGTTCGTCCACCAGGTGCAGTGCATGATTTTTTTGCAGACGATTTGGCACCCAAAAGTGGTCACACAAAATTCAAATCGCTCGTTACATCTTATTTGGGTATTTGTAGTACCATTCTTTATACAAATTTTGATTTACATGAAGCTCCTGCAAATAGTAACAAAGAATTTATATTTTCAAGTTGTCGGACTAAAAGTATGAAGTAAATATTTTTCACTGATGAATAATTTTTATCCTTTTGAGTAATCTTAATAAAGTGAATTACTTTTCATAATCTTCCAGTTCTTTTTGTGGTTTCACTATATTCCATAGTTGTAAGCATTTCTAACATTTTAAACATTATGTCTTTCTAGCATGCCGTCTGTATGTTTTTTGGTTGAGCTAACAATAAAAAATTTAACTGTCAACGAAAGTTTTCCTTTTCTTGATTTTGTAACAACATTTTCTGCCGCACTTCTACAAATCTTTAATTTCTCTGCATCTTTGATTTTCAGTTTTGCAAAATAAAGTCCAATAAATGGTTTGCTTACGGTCTCAAAGCTTTCTCATCATATTGTGACTTACTGGCACCTTAAAAATCGTTTTCTGTAAACCTTTTTCTTTCTCACTCAAGAAAATCTTTCGCGGAACGGCAGTTCTTGAAGTTATTTATGACTGGTATTGATTGTTTATTTCTGATCTACATGGCTTTCAGCACTTCGGCAAAGTCCTACCAAACGACATTTTCCCAGACGTAGTCTGACAGAAAAAGATGAAGGTGAATCTGTTGCTGTGAAGGATGCTCAACGAAGACCGTACAGCAGTCAGCAGTAAGTGTTGCTTATTGTACTCTTGTGAAATTTTTTTAGCGATTTTTGCACGACTTAGAAAAAAATTGTTTTCATCAGTGATTAGTTATATCAGATACGAACAATCATAGGTCCGCAGGTTTTATCAAAGTATTAAAAACTTGTACTAAAAATAGCATTATATCATCTTTTCACTAAACTTCTGGTCTAGTTACATTCGTTAACGCCAAATTTCAATTTCTAATTAAGAGATAATAAAAGTAATTAAGAGGTAATAAATTTTTAATTTTAATACAGCTCACAGGTTATAAAAATAACTTACTTCTTTTCTCTCTGCAAAAGATGTTATTCAAAATTAAAATTTTTAAAAATTTTTAGTGCATCATCTACACTATTTCTCAAATTAATTTTTTATTGTGTATACCATTGTTTAAAAGTCTAGGTTAGCTTAATTTTTGCTAAAAATTTTCAGTGCCTGGATAGTAGTAGCGTATTTCAGGGAGTCTTACACATGGCTATGGAAAAGGTCTCAAAAATAATTATAGTCGAGTTATTGATAGTCATTGAAATTTCTTAAAAGATTTTCTAATTTCTTTGTTTAGAAAACCGCGGGAAAAGAAGGTAGAACGCTTGTTCGCACCTGATCCTGATCCTACAGAGCTTTTACGGTCAGAAAATTCACAAGACTTAGAGGAAGATATGATTGTTAGTTTTTTCAAAATCTTTGCCAGTTTTCAAGTTAGTTTAATGAGATACGAAAATAGTGAAGATTTGTAGTGCCTTTCTATGCATGTTTTCAAAATTACTGCACAGTATCATGTTTTTGTTGCTATGTTCTTCAGTATACTTGCTTTTGTAACTTAAATATTAAAAAGGAAGCATTTGATCCTTTTGAGATATTAAAATGTGCGGTTATTTTTCACTCTCTGCTTGAAGTTTTTTTCTCAGAAAGATGAGAAATTTTGTAAATTTTGCGCTCACTTAGATGATAAATATGTAATAATTTCATGCATTAGCTTTTAAAGCTAGATATTTTATTCAATCTAATTGCTTAAAAAGTAGTCTGGAATTTTTCTTTTTATGTAAAACTGATAATCTAAAACTAATGGGTAAGACTGATAATCTGTGGTTTATTTATTATATACGAACGGTAAAAGTAAGTCCTTCATCACGTTTATGTAAGTCATTATTTTCAGACACACTTATAAATGAAGTTGAGCCAGACTTGTTCTGTGTTCATCTGTCGCTTGCTATTCACCTGTGAATATAATTATCGTTCATTTTGCTATGATAATCGGAGAAGGCGTTGCTTCTGATGATTAAGTGAAGGTAGCATTGCTTGTTGGACAACGAATCTTTCTTGTTCATGTCGTACTGTAGTTAAAAAAGCAACATTTATTCTGTCGTTATTTGTCACATTTATATTTATTTTGAAATTTGGAATTTTCAAAGATATTTGTTATGCCAAAGTGTCATAAATAATTTGCTATCTTGATATGTTACTTATTTTTTGTTTTCGTTTTTTTTTTCACCACAGAATAGCTTTGGAAGAGTAAAAGTAATGAGTCATTTTATACACTATTTTTCAGAGCATTTCATGATAGAAGTGTTGCATTTAGTAAACATTACTTTACTTTGACACGTGTTATGCATGAACAAATTACCATTGCTTTTTCTTTCTGTGCTTGGCTTATAATTACTTGTCCATTGTTTAGCTTAAATTTCAAATTGTGTCGTTGGCATTTAATATTTTAGTCGCTTCTTGGCATTGATTTTGCTTTGCTTTTTGGTTTAATTTGCAGCTCCACCAGAGTTTCATACGTGTGATTCCATACTTCGTGGTTATGATTATGTTTGGTAATATTGATCGTGAAAATCTCTTTCTAAAGCTTCGAATGATGTAGAACTTCCTGCTATTAGTATATTTTTTTCAAAAATTTTTTGAAGACGTGTTACTTACTTTCTTTGCAGCTTGCTCCATTCCATTTTTTAAATCACTTTTTGTTGCTGTAAGAGAAGAGTGTGAAAGTTGCTGTTGTGCATTTTCTGAATCTTACTATTTCAATAACTTAATCAATCTCTATTAATCAACCTTTCGTGATCTTCTGTGCAGGATTTTTTTTTCTTTTTTTTCGGATTCGGACAAATTTTGAAGCACTTAAATGTTCTTTGTCCTTTCTACAAATGACTGTCAACTGTAACATGTAAGTATTATTATATTGTGATTTTAGGTACGAGTATAAGTGGAAACAAACGTTTCTTTAAAGAGTAGGGGCATAGGTTGCATAACTTGTAGAAATATTGCAAACTCACACTTTTTTGTTCAAATAGCTAGAAAAACTTGTTATTGCAGAAAAGATCTTGAAGAATAAAGCACGACAAATGATGGGTGGATTGTTATTGTAATCAACTCTACTACTCTTATTTATGTCAGACCCATCTGTATTAAAATCGAAGAAAATGTTTCTGAATTCCCAGCTCTGTTCCTTCTCACTTAGGAAAGTTTTTTAATTTTGTCTAATTTGATATTTAGACCCAAAATGTTTTGACAAAAGCTGGAAGTGATAAATTTTCTTGTACTATCAGATCTAGTCTTTAGACCGAATGTCACGTGCCGGTTTTTTTACCTTTATACTTGGTGTATACTGTTGTTTTTGATTATTTAAAGTAAGAAATGAAGTGTAACAACATTGTAGTGAAATTTTTTATAACTGTCTGAAATACTATTTGTCATACGTTATTATAAACCAAAGGTGTTGTTTGTTACGATATGCTTTATTGAAAAGATATGTAAACACGCGGTTTATGTCGTTGTTGCAATTGGTCTTTAGTTTAAATTATTATTGTTCAAATAAGTAATGAATTGTCATAGTTCTGGAAGTTTTGAAGTATCTGTTATTTTCTTTTACTGTTGTGTTGTAGATTTCAAGTTACAGACATTTTTAGTGTTTTTGCGTACGTACGGTTGCATATTTAGTATATGATAAATTGCGGAATATCACATGATCACCTGTATTGTCAAATTATTATCTGGTGAGATTTGTTGTGGAATAGTGGCACTTGGCGTATAAAAAAGTGAATTACGTACAAGTGAAAATATATATTGCTAGAGAATAACAATACAGCATATTATTGATAATTCCAGAAGTGATATGTTAGTTTTGTTTTTATTACTTATGGTGGGTTGAAAAAAATTTGCAAACCTAATTGGATAAAACAGTGATCAGGACAATCATAAAATGTTCTATTTATCGAGTTTTTACTGGCATACATTTTTTATATCATACCTTATCTGTCAGTGGAGTTTTTTACAGAGGTCAAAAAATCGCATGTATTTTATAATTTAGAATTTTCTGAGAGCAAAGAAAGGTTTATATTGTTGTCACACATAAATATGTGAAGATACTTGACATCTTTGGCTGGGTTGGGAAGTGTGAATAGGTTGTCGACATATTTGGATTCCTTTAATAGATCAAGGATACAGTTACTTATTGTTTAAATATAACTACGAAATCGGAATGGCCTGTGAAACATTTGGTCAGTGTCAGAAAAATATATGTGGTTCGGAATATATATTTAGTATTGGAAACTTCCAGAGGCAAATTTTTAACTCAAATTAAATATTTATTTCTAAAAAGTGAATTATGTACAAGTGAAAAGATATATTGCTAGAGAATAACAATACAGCATATTATTGCTAATTCCAGAAGTGATATTGTTAGTTTTATTTTTATTACCTATTAATATTATATAATATGCTGCAGAGAGAAAGGAGAGCATTCGATAATTTTGTATACTAGTAGTACTGACTGTGTCAAGAAATTAACTTTAAATTAGGATTAGTTCAGTTCTGAGATTTCAAATTTCGAAGATTTGACCTTAAATGCGTCTACAATTTGAAAATATCGCATATGATAAATTTAGCCTTATGCTAGATATTTAATGATTTAGTTAGCTATTAGCTGCTTGCTTGCCTAAAAGATTGAGCAAATTGAAAGTAATAAAATTTGTCAGAATTATAAGTAAAACAATTATCAGAAAGGATTGATAGTATTGTCTGTTGAATGATTCAATTAATTTACAACCACATCTATCTATCTATCTATGCTTTAATGACAACTGCCATTCAAGGAGTAACAACCCAACAGCTACTAACAATAATGCATTTGCATTTCATTCTTTCCGCCTGTTTGCTACTTAATGCATCACTTATCTAACACTGATTATAAAAAACTAAGCAAGGCTGAACGACGTAAACGACGTCGTGCCACTCCGAAATATCGTAATCTTCACGCCAGCCGAGAACGGTAAGCTTCCATAATTTTTTGATCTGTAAATTCTTACTTTTTTAATTTTTCCATTAGTTTTCTTCTAAAGTTAAATACAGAGCTATTATATATTACTCATAACTTATTGAACAATTACAATATAGTTATTCAACTTTAGCTAAAAGTTTCACTAACATATCAAATACACATTAAAATTTTGATTCCAATCTGTTAACATCAAATTCAGAATTCTTTTTAATCGAAATATTTTGTTAAGTTAATTCATATTCTGCTAATTTTCGCTTTCTGTA